AAAAGGCGATGACACTTCCGAAACATCAACAAAGAAGACAGAGGCACTGTTTTGATGTACAGAAAGAGCAATAAAATAGGCGGTGGCACTGTTGTTGATGTACAGAAACAGCAATGGAAGAAAAGGCTGTGGCACTCTTGTGATGTACTAAAACAACAATAATAAGGCGATGATCTCTTTTTGATGTTCAGAAACATCAACAAAGAAGGCGGTGGCACTCATGTTGATGTACAGAAAAAGTAATAAGTAAGCGTTGGCACTGTTGTTGATGTACAGAAACAGCAATAAAATAGGCGGTGGCACTGTTGTTGATGTACAGAAACAGCAATAATAAGGCGGTGGCACTGTTGTTGATGTACAGAAACAGCAATAAAAAGGCGGTGGCACTGTTGTTGATGTACAGAAACAGCAATAAAAAGGCGGTGGCACTATTGTTGATGTACAGAAACAGCAATAAAAAGGCGGTGGCACTGTTGTTGATGTACAGAAACAGCAATAAAATAGGCGGTGGCACTGTTGTTGATGCACAGAAACAGCAATGGAAAAGGCGAAGGCATTGTTTTTGATGTTCAGGAACATCAAAACGGATGGTGGTGGCACTCTTGTTGATTTACAGAAAAAGCAATAAGTAAGCGGTGGCACTCATGTTGATGTACATTAACAGCAATAAAAAGGCGGTGTCACTCCTGTTGATGTACAGAGTCAGTAATTAATTAGACGGTGGCGCTCTTGTTGATGTACAGAAATAGCGATGAAGAAAAAAGTGGCACTCTCGATAACTTATAGAAATAGCGATAAAGAAAAATGTGACACTCTCGATAAATTATAGAAACAGCGATACAGAAAAAGGTGTAACCCTCGATGTTATACAGATATAGCGAGAAAGACAGCAGCGGCACCTTTAATGTTGTATAGAAACAGTGATAAAGAAAAAGGTGGCACTATCGATAATGTATAAAAGCAGCGAAAGAGTAAAAACTTGCATTTTTGATGCTCTATTGAAACAGGGTTAAAGAAAAGAGTGGCACTCTCGAGTCACATTTTGATGAAACAGTGGGGCGCTCTTGGATTTTGATAGATACTGTGATATAGACAGTGGTGGTACTCAATGGTCTGGATATACATGGTGATATAGACAGAAGTGGCACTCAATGGTCTGAATATACATGGTGATAAAGACAGTGGTGGCACTCAATGGTCTTATATACATGGTGATAAAGACAGTGGTGGCACTCAATATTTACTACAAAAATGCTGATTTAGACAGTGGTTGCATGGTGATAAAGACAGTGGTGGCATTTAAGGTTTCCAGCAAACATGGTGATAAAGACAGTAGTGGCACTCAATGGTCTGAATATACATGGTGATAAAGACAGTGGTGGCACTCAATATTTACTACAAAAATGCTGATTTAGACAGTGGTTGCACTCATTGCTTTGGATACAAATGGTGATACTGACAGTGGTGGCACTCATTGGCTTGGATAGACACGGCGATATAGAGAGTGGTGGCACTCATTGCTTTGGATAGACATGGCGATACTGACAGTGGTGGCTCTCATTGCTTGGATAAACATGTTGATAATGACAGTGGTGGCACTCATTGGTTTGTATAGACATGGTGATAATGATAGTGGTGGCACTCATTGGTTTGTATAGACATGGTGATAATGACAATGGTGGCACTCATTGGCTTTGATAGACATGTTGATACCGACAGTGGTGGCACGGATTGGTTTGGATACAAATGGTGATACTGCCAGTGGTGGCACTCATTGCGTTGGATACAAATGGTGATACTGACAGTGGTGGCACTCATTGCGTTGGATAGACATGGCGATATAGACAGTGGTGGCACTCATTGCTGTGGATACACATGGTGATACTGAGAGTGGTGGCACTCATTGCTTTGGATACACATGGTGATACTGCCAGTGGTGGCACGGATTGGTTTGGATACAAATGGTGATGCTGACATTGGTGGCACGGATTGGTTTAGATAGACATGGTGATACTGACAGTGGTGGCACGGATTGGTTTAGATAGACATGGTGATACTGACAGTGGTGGCACTCATTGCTTTGGATACACATGGTAATACTGACAGTGGTGGCACACATTGGTTTGGATATACATGGTGATACTGACAGTGGTGGAACTCATTGGTTTGGATACAAATGGTGATACTGACAGTGGTGGCACGGATTGGTTGGGATACACATGGTGATACTACCAGTGGTTTCACTCATTGGTTTGGATATACATGGTCATACTGACAGTGGTGGCACTCTTTGGTTTGGATAGACATGTTGATACTGACAGTGGTGGCACTCATTGGTTTGGATATATTTGGTGATACTGACAGTGTTGGCACTCATTGGCTTGGATAGACATGTTGATACTGACAGTGGTGGCACTCATTGGCTTGGATAGACATGTTGATACTGACAGTGGTGGCATTTTTTGGTTTGGATAGACATGTTGATACTGACAGTGGTGGCACGGATTGGTTTGGATATATTTGGTGATACTGACAGTGTTGGCACTCATTGGCTTGGATAGACATGTTGATACTGACAGTGGTGACACTCATTGGCTTGGATAGACATGTTGATACTGACAGTGGTGGCACGGATTGGTTTGGATACACATGGTAATACTGATAGTGGAGCGAATCATTGTCTTGGATAGACATGTTGATACTGACTGGTGGCACTCATTGGTTTGGATATACATGTTGATACTGACAGTGGTGGCACTCATTGGTTTGGATATACATGGTGATACTGATAGTGGTGGCACTCATTGTCTTGGATACAAATGGTGATACTGCCAGTGGCTGCTTTGGATAAATATGTTGATAATGACAGTGGTGGCACTCATTGGTTTGGATATACATAGTGATACTGACAGTGGTGGCACTCATTGGTTTGGATACAAATGGTGATACTGCCAGTGGTTGCTTTGGATAAATATGTTGATAATGACAGTGGTGGCACTCATTGGTTTGGATACACATGGTGATACTGACAGTGGTGGCACTCATTGCTTTGGATAGACATGGTGATATAGACAGTGGTGGCACTCATTGCTTTGGATACACATGGTGATACTGACAGTGGTGGCACGGATTGGTTTGGATATACATGATGATACTGCCAGTGATGGGACTCTTTGCTTTTGATACACATGGTGATAATGACAGTGGTGGCACTCATTTCTTTAAATATATATGGTGATACTGACAGTGGTGGCACTCATCGGTTTTGATACACATGGTGATACTGCCTATGGTGGCACGGATTGGCTTGGATACACATGGTGATAATGACAGTGGTGGCACTCATTGGCTTGGATAGACATGTTAATACTGACAGTGGTGTCACGGATTGGTTTGGATACACATGGTGATACTGACAGTGGTGGCCGGATTGGTTTGGATACACATGGTGATACTGCCGATTGTGGCATGGATTGGCCTGGATACAAATGGTGATACTGACAGTGGTGGCCCTCATTTCTTTAAATATATATGGTGATACTGACAGTTGTGGCACTCATTGGTTTGGATACAAATGGTGATACTGACAGTGGTGGCACTCATTGGCTTGGATAGACATGTTGATACTGACAGTGGTGGCACTCATTGGTTTGGATATACATGGTGATACTGACAGTGGTGTCACTCATTGCTTTGGATACACATGGTGATACTGACAGTGTTGGCACTCATTGATTTAGATATACATGGTGATACTGACCGTGGTGGCACTCATTGGTTTGGATACACATGCTGATACTGCCAGTGGTGGCACTCATTGGTTTGGATACACATGGTGATACTGCCAGTGGTGGCACTCATTGGTTGGGATACACATGGTGATACTGCCAGTGGTGGTACTCATTGCTTTGGATATACATGGTGATATAGACGGTGGTGGCACTCATTGGTTTGGATACACATGGTGATACTGCCAGTGGTGGCACTCATTGGTTTTGATATACATGGTGATACTGACAGTGGTGAAACTCATTGGTTTGGATACACATGGTGATACTGACAGTGGTGGCACCCATTGCTTTGGATACACATGGTGATACTGACAGTGGTTGCATTCCAAGTTTTTTACAGAAATTATTGTTGAGAACGAGGTAAAGTTTGGTTGATGTACAGAAGGTGGTTATCTGAAAAGTTTTAGCACTAAATACGCGTCATGAAATGCCATGAATAAACAGAACATAACATAATCCAATAAACTGATCGACATTAGTTTTTGACGTGTTTAAGGCACGTGGATCGGTAAGAAATTATAAACACGGAAGATGATTACGTAAGGTGTATGGTACATTATTAACTGAGCTGTATGGTACATGATTTACGTAGTTGTATGGTACCTTGTGTAGCAATTCTCGGACAAACTAAGGCTGCCCGCGTCAGATACGTACATAGAAACTAGTGTTACCAACAGAGACACACACAGGGAGAAAACTCATAGTAAAGACATTAAGGAACAAAGGAAATGTGACATAAGTGATCTTATAACATGGTAAAATGGGGTTAAAAGATGGAGGCACAGGAAGTGATGGAACAATAGGTGGTGATACTGGGAATAAGGAAACAAAGGATCACAGATGGAGATACATGGAATAAACAAGAGATGACAACACCGGAAATAAATACAAGAGGTTAGGGTTCCGAAAGGGAGCACTATTCGGAGAAGACACCAGAAATGGGTATACAACGAGCGATGGCACCGGAAGTCGAGGAAGAAGAGGAGATTAAGGTTAGTGTGAGAGTACTTGAGAAATAGGAGATAGTGCAAGGAATGTCTTAAGACGGATGATGGGACATGGCAGGATGGCACCTAAGTCGAGGAAGAAGAGGAGATTAAGGTTAGTGTGAGAGTACTTGAGAAATAGAATGAAAAATGTCAATCTTACAAGTGCGATAGAAAAATGCAGATACAAGGAATGTCTTAAGACATAGCGGTCACCTGGATGATGGGACATGGCAGTCACCTGGAGGATGGGAAATGGCGGTCACCTGGAGGATGGGACATGGCGGTCATCTGGGTGATGGGACATGGCGGTCGTCTGGCTGATGGGACATGGCGGTCATCTGGAGGATGGGACATGGCGGTCATCTGGAGGATTGGACATGGCGGTCACCTGGATGATGGGACATAGCTGTCACCTGGAGGATGGCACATGGCGGTCACCTGGCTGATGGGACATGGCGGTTACCTGGGTGATGGAACATGGCGGTGATCTGGAGGATTGGACGTGGCGGTAGCCTGGCTGATGGGATATGGTAGTTACCTGGAGGATGGGATTTGGCGGTCATCTGGCTGATCACTTTGACAACTGCCAAGTTCAACTTATGATAAAGGCAATAATGGGTATTTATCTCCCACCTTTATATAACCTCCCAGTAGGTATTTCGTGCGAAATTTTGTTGTTTGTACAAAACAAACTACAAAACTGATGAACCTCAGTAAGATTGCTACCGCCACGATTGCGTCATGCTCGCGCTCCTTGTGTCTGGAGAACTCACGAAAGTTGCGTATTACAAAATATGAACAGTTGGTCTGTCATTAAAATTCATTACAAGTGTTAAGCATTAAATAAAACTTAAATAAGTTTAACTTTGATTGGATAGAATAGAGAACACATGCCAGCAGGCGATTTAGCACGGGAGGACTTGGTTCTGATGTTACGCCACTCAATTTGCATTGATGGAAACATGGCGCGCTATAGTTGCCACGCGCTTGTTGCACTGACAACTTTCTTTACAAACTTTTTCTAAAGTTCAGAAACAAATTGATTTCAACTTCCATAAATTCATGAAGTCATTGTCGTTTATTAAGTTGTTCATGTCAATGAGTCTAATATGAAATTTTTATAACACCAGTTATCAAAGTGTGTCGCTTTAGTCATTAATACTGGTACAGATGCAGTTCCTTACCATATGTCCCAACATCACAAAACACTCAAACAGCGCAAAATATTAACATCTTGCATCATATTTCATTTCAATCATTTTTTTGTTATTGCATTTTATTTTTGATCATTATTAATATTCAAAAACTGTTCGGCCTATTGAAATCAGTAAGTGACGAGAAGCTAGTGAAGACGTTAGAGCGTGTGTTTGTGTGGTGCTGGAGAGGTATCCCCTATTTTTATTGTCCCAGACTGAGCGTCTGACGTGAAGCAGGCTCGTGTGCCTACTCTAGGCATTGCCAGCAGATGTACCAGTCTCACCGTGCATGCAAGCACGGCCAGGCAGCAGGATGCACTCGAGAAAAGCTCTTGGAAACTAGTTTTGTAGTCCGGAAACAATGATAGTAGCTCTTTTGGTGGAGGAGAACAAGAGGCGAGTAAACGGCGATGAGTGTGTCGCCACACGTGATAGCTGCGGAGTTTACCAGTCGGTCTCAGCAGTTCTATGACAGAGTCACACAACGTTGGCTGTATACATAAGCTGTGTCGATGCTGTTTTCGTCACTATGGTAAAACAAGCATTGTAGCTTTATCTTACCTCACAGCACGCGATCCAACAACAATACTCTTCTCTTTTCGCCGGCAGGTGAACGGTGCAGCCCTCCGCCTGTACGCGGTCGCCATTGATTAATGCCTTTAAAGCCCTGCCAATTAACTATACAATTTAATAGACATGAAAAGAAGTATTTCATTAAAGGCAAAATCCAACTCCAGCCCGGTACCAGGTGGAGCAGATAGTTGCCTCCGCTTTTGGAGACCTCACTCACCGTCTGCTACATCCATATCATCGTTTAACACCATATAAATTTTCATGCGGATTAAAAAATCATTCCATATTCTATTCATGTCCTTTATGATAGGTTGTAGCATCAATATGGGCTAATTTTACATCGCAATCGCCGTTTTAACAGTCTAGACCTATCGCGCGCAAAACTTTCTAAAAAGTTTTAAATCCGCCCGCCTCTAGCGTTTAGTGACGCATGCGCAATACACTCGAACAATACAGCATACAATACGAGCGCCATTTACTCACCTCTCAGCAGCGTGTAGAACACCGCAAGCACGAGGAGCCGCCGTGCTGTAGTTGCTTCCATCAAGTCGACGCTTCAACACGACTTTAGCGACACATTATCCTTTTGTCACTCAAGTACAACACAATACATAGATTTAAATCGATTCTTTCAAATATACACAATGACAACGTCAGCTTAGGTAGGTTAAACTCTCTGAAAAAACTCCAGACTCTAGATAGTTATAACGTAAGCGTATAGCTTGTGTGGTAGGAGTCGCGATGTAGCAGTCCCATACAAAGTTTATTAAATATTGTCACGTAGTCAGGTAACAGGTAACTGAATATTTGTTAATTTCACCAGACGATAAAATATTTTACTTAAAATTCATTCATGCACAAAAGATGTGTGGGTGTAACCTGTTTTATTGTCGTACTCTAAGTGAATGAACAGTGATGGCAACAAATACGTATATGATTATATATCATACCTGTGTTTACATGTAGGTGTGTACCTGTGTATATTGATAGCAATGTATTACCTCACTCGTAATACTAATAAAGCACAAATCATCGACAGTGTTAACGAACGCCCTCATGTATAATGTCTTGGGGTCCCGAAACCCGCATAGTAATAAGGCGGCACTTTTTATCCCACTAAATCACGATCGGCACGTGCAGGACTCGTGCGTAAAGTGAACATACCATGAGTGACCATACAGTCACAGAAAACCTTAAGACAGTAGCATGTGGAGTAGGAATTAAATTCTACTATATTAGGAAATTGTTTTCATTTGTCTGAAATTTGATACAAACTTTTATAGTTGTGCAATTTTTCAAAATCAGCATAACGCTATTACTTAAGTCAAGTCTGACAGTTTTCCACCGCATGCTGTACGCATAGCGCTGGCATCATTAAAATCTATTATAGTGTACCTCCATGACTGAAGAGTCAAACATCAGAGCGAGTCTGCCTCGTTCTCGAATAGATATAGAAGATGGATGGGATGACTACAGTATAACTAGCAATTGTAAATAGAACATAGAGACTAAACCAACTCTGGTGAATAAAACTAGGCATTATTTGACCCAGGCATTCCCGTATACAGTGAATAAATTAAAACCACGTGAAATGTAGTCCTGTACAGTGTTTCGCTCACTCGAGAAACCCACTCAAAAGTTGAACCGTTATCCTGACAAAAACTTACTCGGGTCGGTATCCACGTCCATTGTTATAAAGGTTACGAGAATGGCACTAATTCAGTCTTGACAGTTGTCAAGGATGTACTGAGAGGGAGACAATGGAATATCTAAAACTGGTATTCTCTTCCGAGTAAATCAAATGCGAATAACCGTTTGTTAATTCAAAATACATGTTTTATGTAGATATTTAGAATGGAGCTTAGTTCGAATTTTAGAATACAAATTTAATTGAAAAAAAAATAAACAGTACATTATTGTCAGTTTAATATCGTCCTATATACTTAGAAAAGATTACTGTTTTTTCGGAACGGCAGAATGACTATTATCGTTATTTCGCTCACTCGAAAGAAGGCCGATACAAATATAATCAGAGGAACGTCATGTATATTCATATTCTTATTTATTTCTTTCTGTTGAGGAAAGATCATGGTTAAAGCTACGAAAAAATGAAAAAGGCACATAACATCAACTACAAGAAAAGACCCATAACAGCAACCACAAGAAAAGGCACATAACAGCAGACACATAATAGCAACCACAAGACAGGATACATAACATCAACCATAAGAAAAGGCACATAACAGTAACTACAAGACAGGACACATAACAGCAACCACATGACAAGACACATAACAACAACCACATGACAAGACACATAACAGCAATAATAAGACAGGACACATAACAGCAACCACATGACAAGACACATAACAGCAACCACAAGACAAGACACATACCAGCAACCGCAAGACGAGGTACATAACAGTAACCACATAATAGCAACCACAAGACAGGATACATAACAGTAACCACATGACAAGACACATACCAGCAGATACATAATAGCAACCACAGGACAAGGCACTTAACTGCAACCACAAGACAAGGCACATAACAGCAACCACAAGACAAGGTACATAACAGTAACCACATAATAGCAACCACAAGACAGGACACATAACAGCAACAACAAGACAAGACAAATAACAGAAGACATATAATAGCAACCACAAGACAGGGCACATACCAGCAACTACAAGACAAGACACACAACAACAACAACAGGACAAGACACATAAAAGAAGACACATAATAGCAACCACAAGACAATACACATAACAGCAACCACAAGACAAGATACATACCTGCAGACATATAATAGCAACCACCAGACAAGAAACATAATAGTAACCACAGGACAAGACACATTCTAGTAACAAAAAGACAATTTACATAACCAACCACAAGACAGGATACATAACATCACCCACAAGACAAGACACATTACAGCAACCACAAGAACAGGTATATAACAGTAATCACAAGACACATAACAGCAACCAAAAGACAAGACACATAACAGCAACCACAGGACAAGACACATAACAGAAGACACATAATAGCAACCACAAGACAAGACACATAGCATACACAATCCTGAAAAATTACAGGAAGACACAAAACCGTGTGCGGGAAAACACAGTGTACAATTACAGGAATAAACACAATTACGTACTGTACTACAGGTATACACAGTGTACAATTACAGGAACAAACACAATTACGTACTGTACTACAGGTATACACAGTGTACAATTACAGGAACAAACACAATTACGTACTGTACTACAGGTATACACAGTGTACAATTACAGGAATAAACACAATTACGTACTGTACTACAGGTATACACAGTGTACAATTACAGGAATAGACACAATTACATACTGTACTACAGGTATACACAGTGTACAATTACAGGAATAGACACAATTACGTACTGTACTACAGGTATACACAGTGTACAATACAGGACACAATATACACAGTATACACAGTACAATTACAGAAAGACACAATAGACACAATTACACAGTACAATGTACACAATACAGGTATACACAGTGTACAATTACAGTAATAGACACAATTACGTTCTGTACTACAGGTAT